GGGATGGGGGGGGGGAGGATTAATCCGTTTTGAGAGTAGCTTTGGGGCAATTGTCGGTTAGTGTTATGATGTATGATTAACTAGGCAAATTGGTGCGCATGAATGCTGGTGCAAAGCTATTCGAAAAATTAAAACCAAATTATATACATTATTAGTCAACACAAAACCATATTAAATGCACACGCTGTTTAAGAGACTAAAAATTAAGAGATTTAAATGATTTCGTTAAAAATGCGGCTGTTCAATGTTAGTTATGTTGTTTTTGTCTTTTAAAAACACCTATTTTGGCTGACCATGGGTCTGACCACACTATCTATTCATATGCTGAGAAGACAGAAGCAGGAGAATTTTACTTCACCTGCCCCGTGTCCTGCCAAGTCCCGATAGGCAACTTTATCATTCACATATAAAAAAAATTGAAAAAAAAAATCAACATTGACGTTGTGTGTCTCGAACATGTACAACCCGCTTGGTAACTATTACACTATCATCTCTAAATCAAGAATAGGCCTTGAAAATTGTATACATTTCATAGCTTACGTCCCGATAAGTAGATCTAAATAAAATTTGAATGAAATAGTTAATTTCTTTACATTCTAAAATTGGAAGATGACGCCATTAGGTTTGTGTACTTTCCGTGGTTTAACCTCGTGACATGTGACGTCATTGTTTTTTTTGCGTTCATGTCACGACAATAAACACTTTAGTTAGAAATATTTTTCTACATCAGAATATGCCTTTTTTTAACACGTTTTTATTAACTCAGCTTCGCGTGGATGTGTTTGTTGTTAAAATTGACATCGAAAATTAGCCCACTTCTGATTGCTCTATAGATCTGAAATTTGGCATGCAGGTTACTTTCGCCTAACAATTTCAGATGCAATCATAAAAACTAGCAATTAGAGACCGTAATTAGCTTAATTTAATTACGCCCAAAGGACCATAAAATTGAGGACATGATTTCTAAAGATACCGACAAGACTGGAGGCTTGTTGACACAGTTACTTCGGCCCCAATCGATGTGAGCGCGCTGGCCGTGATCGTATAGTGGTTAGTACTTCGCGTTGTGGCCGCGACAACCCAGGTTCGAATCCTGGTCGCTCAAGATTTTTTTAGTCCGTGTATTTATAAACACTTAGTCAATTCATACTTAATCAAGTCATTAGATAAAGTAGAAAATAAACTATATAAAAAACTTTTTTAAAAAACACGTTTTTCATGTGTAGCAACGGACTAAAAAGGAGAAAATAAAATACTTAAAAAAAACTTTTTAAAAAACCACGTTTTTCTTGTGGACTAAAAAGTAGAAAATAAATTTTCATACATTTGATGACAAAAAACGTGGGTACGTTCACCATCAAATTTCCCGACCCATCTGCCCGACCCACGTTTTTTGTCATCAAATGTATGAAAATTTATTTTCTACTTTTTAGTCCACAAGAAAAACGTGGTTTTTTAAAAAGTTTTTTTTAAGTATTTTATTTATTTTCCTTCTATTAAGAAAATTTAGTGAATACATTTATTACGTCCACCATGTTATTTTCAAAAAAAGTCCGTATCTTTAAGTCCTAGATATAACGCTGAAAATATTGATGACGTTGCCAAAAATAATTGCGGATAGAGAGAGAGACTGAGAGAGGGAGGTGCGCACATGGGCTTATATATATATATATATATATATATATATATATATATATATATATATATATATATATATATATATATATATATATCCATTATATATATATAATTTATAATCAGTGTATCTATTTCACTACACAGATCATGACTTCAGCTCATGTAGGTTTACGGGCTGTTTGTGTGATATCCAGCTAGGAAGATGCCTAAAAAAAGCCTGTAAATCTTTACAACAAATCGAATTTTAGGTTAAGCTGACGCCCTGACACATTTACGTTTGGTTTGTTTAGTCATCTTTTGTGTTTGTTATGGCGTCGGTCTTTGTGTTGTTTGGATTGCCATTGATTAAAGTGTGGCTGAAAGCTCTTTTTTAAAAGTGTAATTCAGGGGTCTCCAAACTACGGCCCGCTGTTCTACATCTCAACTGCTTATGTTCATTAGAGGCGTGGATGAGGCCATAAACATAACACAAGAGCTGGCTTTCCTACATAGAATGTATGGCACTGTTACCGGAGAGAATATAGATAGTTCAGAGACATGTTAAAAGATAGAAAACCAGAATCGCAAGATGTATCATATTTCACAGCAGTAAGATGGCTAATTTGCAAGAAATGTTTCTGAGCAGAGTATTTAAGTTTAGAAAGGAAATAGGTGACTTCCTTGAAAGTAAAAGCAAGCCACAAGTTTATGTACTTACTGTCTGATAAAGAGTGGGTATAGAGATTGGCCTCTGCTGCAAACATAACCAGTTATTTAAATTTTCTGAACCTAAAACTACAAGAAATGGAAATTTAGTTTCTGATCTATACACTCAACTAAAGGCTTTCAGATCCAAACGTGTCATGTTTTTGGAACAAGTACAAGCAAACAATTTGATGCACTCTCAGTAGTGCAAGGTCTTTACGGCAGAAGCAACCACTGAATTCCCCACATCATTTGCATACGAGATCATCAAGACTTCAAGCTGCATTTTCAGTAGCGGTTTTCTGACTTGGATCCAAAGACAGAAAAAAGTGAGACTGTTTAAGAACCCATTTGAAGCTAATGTAGCCAGTTGCAAAGATGAACTGCGGCTGAAGGTCATTAGAGATATGTTCAAAGAAGGGCGGGTGGTTTTTTTAATAAGTTTTTGCAAAAGGAAGATTTTCCTAATATTAAAATTTTTGCATCAAAGTACCTTTCAAATTTTGGAACAAGATACCTGTGTGAACAAATATTTTCAAGATTAAAACAAGTGAAGAATAATTTGAGAGCAAAGTTGGACCTCGGGTGTGTTGTTGGCCACACACAGTATTTCTTTCAGACCTTTTTCTCCGCGGGGAAGGGTGGGACGGACGACGACACTTAAAATTTGTATATATTTCTATATAAATTATATTTCATTCAGGGGGGAGGACGGTACACATTCTTGTGGGGGTGGGGGTGGGGGCGCTACTACCCCGAAGAGATGTCTTGAAGAAACTCTGGCCCCCGAACTGATATTTGATAGTTAATGCGGCTCTCGGGCTGAAAAGTTTGGAGACCCCTTGTGTAATTTGGTCCAAGCGCGGGATACACACACACACACTTACAAATACACACACACGCGCTCACACAAACACACTCACACTCTTACCTACACAAAAGCTAACATACTAGCACGAGAAGAAAACACAGACACGCAAGCACACAACCAGTCTCACCAGTGCAAACACACACCCACCCAAGCACACACCTACCCATACGTTTACACACACACACATACACACACAAACAGATATGGTCACTCAGCAGAACACACATACACATATATTTCCATTTAAATAAAACCTTGAGAAATAAAAACATGTGTCTGTATGTGGGGCCAATGATTGCTCCAAAAGTCCTGAGTTTGATGAGGCTCGTTGGTTGGGGAAAGCAATCGATTTAATAGAGAAAACTCCAAAATCAAACAATACTACCTTGCAGATTGTTTTCGTATAAGTGAAATCCAAATAGAAGAAAAACAGGCTGAAAGCGATCTCAGTCAACGGCCTATATGGCGCAAACTGGCTGACACGTAATGCTTAATTGTGTTGGAGGAAATCTCGTCCAACAGTACGATTAAGAACAAAGCACAAGAAAAAAGTTATAGGAAGCTACAGGTAGAAAAAAATTTAGGATTGAGTTCTTTTTCAAACCTGACGGTCTAAAGGGCAAGTGAAGTAGAGTTCACTTGTTTCTGTGACCTCGGCATATGATGAGATAATGTGGTCAGCACTATGCACAGTCGCCTTTACTCTCCCTAACGCGAGTTGGGTACCTGGAGTGGACTCAGGGATTGTCTCCTGACTTGATTCCGGATTCGAACACGAGACTTACGGGTTAGCAGTCCAGCTCTCTACCGCTAGACCACTCCAACCCCTAAATTTAGAATGAGTGTGGTAAAATAATAGAGCAATGTAGGAGAGATAACACTTTTTTAATTTAACGAATAAATTGGATGGCATTGTAGAAAGAAACGCGGGCTATGGTCCGAGTTAACAGGCCATACGGCTTATGCCATGTTGACATGTATTGTGTATGGGGAAATCATCTTCAGTAAACTAAGAATGAAGAGGAAGAAACAAAAAATTTATGGACACTTGATTGATTTTTAGATTGGTTCGAAGCTAGCCAAATGCAGGTAAGCCAACGGTTACAAGTCAGATTTTTAATATACGAAAGGGTCTGATAAAAATGTGCTGTTTGTTCAATGATTTGAATTTTATTCCGTTACACATGTACATATTAGTCCGACCACTTTCTTTTTTGTTTTTGCTTAACATCGTATGAACAGATCTTAATATTAAGTAATCACTCGACGTACCATCAAGGCAGACACAAGTCAAGTAGGCCTACGATATAGACGTGAAAGGTATGTTCATTAAAGCACGTATATAAACGATCAACGCGCGCCTGTGTCGGTGGCGTTGGCACGATTCGTGACGTATGTGTGACGTAACGTTAAGGTTTCAACAACGTATCACGATACTGATACTACGTGTTATCTCGCTCGGCGCACTTTATTACTATGTCGTGCTGTCGTATTTGAACTGTCATCGGCGGCAGGCGCTAGTTGCATTGTCCGTGCTGACGAAATCCTACGTCAAATCAAATGTGTGTTTTGACCACCGCCAAATCCCTGTGACTGACTCACCGAACGCATGGAGTTTCACCGAACCCAGGTTAATAACCACTGTTTTATTTACTTGTCTTTTTATCAATCATATAAGCAGATTAAAATTATAAAGTAAGAAACTGATTGTAGAAAGAAATAATGTTTTTAATGTGTTTCAAACAAGTTATCCACAAGCAAAATAAAAATGTGCAGCTTTTATGAATAGGTACAGATTATATATATTGTTCTGTTATACAATATGCGGGTTCATCAAACAGAAAGAAATGTAGATAGTTAAAAACCGTGTACAGGCTATGAAGACATGAATATCTATTAGAAGAAGAAAAAAATTATAAAAATGCGAAAACAACATGAAGCGCAATCAACACGTTGGTATCTAACCACGCCCACCCACGTGCGTTTGTTTACGCCTGACGAAGCTTCATCTCCATGCTTTCCGCCGAGTCCCGGAACGTCGTCACAGCAGACCAGTTCACCCCCTCCCCCTCCACCCGGCTTCCCCAGACGCCGTTGGGGTTCACGAGATGGCAGTTCTCGTGGTACCACCAGCCGCCTTTAAACTCCTGCGCGCAGTGCTCCGTCGTTTCCCGGTCGTTGTCGCGGTCTGGGGTGGAAAACTTGGAGCCGTTGTGGCTCTGGAAGTTGTCGGTGGCGTTCCCCGAGTAGGTGGTGAAGCTGACCTTGTAGGCGAGCGTCTCGTCCTGGACTTTAAAGTTGTTGTAGACGGCGTAGTAATTTTTGTTTTTGTACTTGATGTCAAATCTCAGATCGGTATAGCCCTGTTGGAAATAAAATAGACACAAATGTAAGTATAGACAGCGTAGTAATTTTTGTTTTTGTACTTGATGTCAAATCTTAGATCGGTATAGCCCTGTTGGAAATAAAATAGATGCAAATGTAAGTATAGACAGCGTAGTAATATTTGTTTTTGTACTTGATGTCAAATCTTAGATCGGTATAGCCCTGTTGGAAATAAAATAGATACAAATGTAAGTATAGACAGCGTAGTAATATTTGTTTTTGTACTTGATGTCAAATCTTAGATCGGTATAGCCCTGTTGGAAATAAAATTGGTGTTAATTCGGTAATAAAATTTGTATTTTACAAGCTTTTATTTAGTTCACAATGTCTGTTTTATTTCTTTGTTTGTTTGTGGCGAATCTTGTAGTTAAGTTTTGACCCACTTCTACTGCAGCGATTTCGTTCAATTTTTCCAGATACGTTGCACTTTGATGTCAATGCAAGTCTAACTATTTTTTTAATCTAATTAGATGTTTAATTTGTCATTTAAAATAAATCAAATAAAATAAATTCGAAACTTAAGGGAGATAACAAAATTAAATCACTCTTAGATTACGAGATTCAATAACAGAAAGGGACTGGGGATAGCTAGATAGACGTAATAACAGTTTGGTGAGCTGTGGTTCACGAGAATGTTTACAATCGTAGAGCTGTTCGATCTAGTGAAGGCTATTATGGGAAAATAATAAAGTTTTTCATCTATTTAAAACTAAGGGGAGGTAACTGGAACTTGCTGTCGTCTGTAAAATATCGCGGGCTTCTGATGGTGTTTTAAAACAATATTTTTTTCCTTTATAGCAACAAGCTTTTAATGTACTGAAAATAAGAAAAAAAATTAATTCACTTTCTTTCATAAAAGCTTTAGTCGCTAGTAAGATCTGTTACGTATTTTAGCGACAAAATCTTTTATGAGAGAAAGTAAATTAGTTTCATTTTTTTTTATTATCAGTGCATTAAATGCTTGTTGCTATAAAGGTTTTTTATTTTTGAATTTAAATTTCTATGTCGAATTTCTGGTCTGTATTGCCCAGTTAGTAAGAAAAAAAAAATGTTAATCGCGGCGTATATTATTGGTTTTTGCACTTGATGTCGAAATCTGAGATCTATATAGCTCTGTTGGAAATAGAATAGATGTATAAAATTGGTGTAAACGGCTTCGTTGTAAGTTGTTTTTTTTATTTTATGTAGAACCTCTCTGTTTTTACAGGCGCAAAAAAAAAAAAAAAAAAAAAAAAAAAAAATCAGTGACGCCTTGTTTAATAATGTTTTAAGTCAAGTGTTATAATAATACATGAACTAACAAAATATACAACGTGTTTTATGAGTTGAAGAACAAAATATAGAAAGTGTTTTATGAGGTCTTCAACCTAAAAATTGTCCCCTTGTGTTGCAGCTTTTATGTAGATTTTTGTCTATAATGCACGAATCCTCTTTAGACCAAGATCCATTGGGCAGATGAAGTAGAGTTCATATGTCTCTTGAACTTGGTATATGAAAAGAAGGTGTGGTTAGCATTTGCCCAGCCGCCTTTACTTTCCCTAACATGAGTTAGGTACCCATCAGAGTTGGGTGGACTCAGGGAAATTCTAGTGTGATGGACACGGATTTGACCTTAAGACTTTTGCGGTCCCCTATGTCCATCATACTAGCTATAATTAATTGATCTAAATTAATTGTTGGGAACCTGTGATGTAAGTTTGGATATGATGTCGTTTCCCAGCCAAAAGTCTCCTTTGAGGGATCCGAACCCGTTCTTGTAATCACTCCATTCTCTGGTGAAGTTTACGTCGCCTTTGATGCGTCGCTGGAATAAAAGAGGGCAGCAAATATAGTCAGGTTACGTGTAACGTTACTTATAACGTTACGTTACATCGTATATAAGATGGATGATATGTGTGATTTAAGGCGTGACGCTAAATTTGACGCTACGCGTTACGTTACGGGTGACGTTACGTGTCACGCTATGTTACTTGTGACATTACAAAAACAGAAGCAATACTGATAGTATGGATACCGTTTCTGTGGTATCGTCATCGTCTTTTCCCGTTGTGCCCAAGATACACAGGGCAGATGAAGTAGAGTTCATCTTTTTCAAGGACTTCGGCGTTGAGGGGGCTAGTGTGGTCAGCAAACTATGCTCATGGACGCCCTATAGCATCGAGCCCGGGATCCGACCTCGAGACTTTTGGGTTAGCAGTCGTAAGCGCTACCATTCGACCATGCCCTCTCACTGTTATGTGATCGTATGTTGTTGATAAAATAAAAGGTCACCTGTATGAAGACCCACCCAGTCAACTGTATGACAACCAACCCTCCCCCAAAGTCATCTGTATAAGGACCCACCCACCACCAAAACTATCTGTATGAGGACTCACCGTCCCCCCAATTCACCTATATAAAGACTCATCCCCCCAAGTCACCTATTTAAAGACCCATCCCCACCCCCAAGTCACCTGTATGAGGATCCACCCTCCCCCATATATATATATATATATATATATATATATATATATATATATATATATATATATATATATATATATATATATAATATATATATATATATCTTTATGACAACCCATCCTTTCCCCCCCCCAAAGTTACCTTATGAGGATCCACCCCCCCCCCCAAGTCACCTGTATGAGGATCCACCCTCCCCCATATATATATATATATATATATATATATATATATATATATATATACATATATATATATATAAATATATATATACATATATATATATATATATATATATATATATATATATATATATATATATATATATATGTATATATATATATATATATATATATATATATATATATATATATATATATATATATATATATATATATATATATAATATATATCTTTATGACAACCCATCCTTTCCCCCCCCCCCCCAAAGTTACCTTATGAGGATCCACCCCCCCCCCCCCCCCAAGTCACCCGTATGAGGATCCACCCTCCCCCCCCCCCCCCAAGTCACCTGTATCAGGATCCACCCTCCCCCATCAGTGATGGTATCACACAGCGCCTCTTTGTCACCATCCAGCGTGACCTTGATGCGATGGGGCAGGTAATTGTCCGTGCTCTTGACACACTTGGCCTGTATCAAAGAAATGGGAGGAGGGAGGCATCAGTAGCAGCAATGGTAAAGTATTGGAGTAACATACAGAGGCATACGGTGCTATGGTAAAGTGTTATAAAATGTGTATGCTTTGGTACCGCTAGTATTATAACAGACAGCGGCATACGGTACTATGGTAAAGTGTTATAAAATGTGTATGCTTTGGTACCGCAATTATTATAACATACAGCGGCATACGGTGCTACGGTAAAGTGTTATAAAATGTGTATGCTTTGGTACCGCAATTATTATAACATACAGCGGCATACGGTGCTATGGTAAAGTGTTATAAAATGTGTATGCTTTGGTACCGCAATTATTATAACATACAGCGGCATACGGTGCTACGGTAAAGTGTTATAAAATGTGTATGCTTTGGTACCGCTAGTATTATAACAGACAGCGGCATACGGTACTATGGTAACGTGTTATAAAAATGTTTTTACTTTGGTACCTTTATTAATATAAGAGATAGTGGCGTTCGTTAAGAATTTCCAAAAGAGACCAGGCAAGTGGTCTAGAGGAGAGATGTAAATTTAAAACTATTGCTAGTGACGAAAAATTAGCTGTTCTGTTTATTTGAACTTGTTTTTTTTTTTAACTTGTATTATAAATAAAATTTGTACTTAAACAAACAGTTCTTCTAAGTACGTGCACTTCAGTATAATTATAACTTTTTATCTCAACGCACGTTGATTTCATGGTCTAGGTTTGGGTCGGGCTATGGTCAAATTTTCTGCTAGGGTTTAATTATAACTACTTGCAAATAACAAGAACAGATCTTATAAGATCTGGCAGTGTTGACGGAAGTACGATAAAAATATAACAGTCTAACTAATTCTATCTTTCACGTTTTAGCTAGACAACATACGATTTCAGTGTTTTAAGACGCACCAAACAAAACGCCAATCTTACCGAATTCTGGAATTCCCGTTTGAGTTCGTACACGGTGGAATTGAGTAGAACCAGAGACGAGGAAGTTTCCTTTAATTCTGCGCCGTGAGCTGCCAGGCTTTGGTTGAAGATCTCCATCACTTGATTCAGCCTCTGCTCCAATCCGGAAGTCAAGTTCGGCGCATGCGTCTCCATTTGAACACTCGTCACGTTGTAGATTTCTAACCTGCCAGCTGTTTTGTTTTCGCTTTCCTCGATTTTTTTCAACAATTTCTCTTCCAACTCTCCCAACTTAGCGTAAAAGTTGGACGTGGCTGTGTTAAGTTTGTCTTCAAATTCTAGTTTGTTGTTGGAAGCCACGAATTGAGTAACATTTCGAACGCTTTCAGGGCTAGTTACAAATTGATTACCATTTCTAGACGTTTCTGATATGGCGACATTTGAATAATTAGAAACAACTCCTACCGCGTCCAACTTTGACACTTTTAAAGATAAAGTCATATCAGAGACTTCAGAATTTTCTCGCTCTTTTAAAGTTTTTAAGAAATATCCCATACTATCTATAGTCTTATCGAAATGTGGCACTTCCGCTTTTAAATTCATAAGTATAATTGATCTTCCTGATTTTGTTGACTGTGGGTTTAATTTAGTTACTTTTGTGGCGTTGTTTCCTTGGAGGTTTATGAAATCCACTTCACAAATCACATCATCGGGTACGCAAATGGATGAATTCCGAATATTGACAGTCAGTTTGCCTTGGTTGTTAAACGCATGGCCTAAAACAGACAGGCTGTTTGCGTCAGAGTTGAAGAGAGTGGACAGAGAAACCGATGCAATCTGTCTGCGAACTGACCCTAGGATGGATATCTTGATCAATGCGTAGATGTCAGTGTCGGTGCGGATGTCGGCAGTACAGTCCAGCCTGGCACAGAAGATTTTGTCGTCGATGGTGAAGACATTGCGCTGGACATCGAAGTCAACGCCTGGTGAGGTTTTGAGAGTTCGTGCATGAAATTAATATTTCTACTTTTTGTTTTTGAGAGTTCGTGCATGAAATTAATATTTCTACTTTTTGTTTTTGAGAGTTCGTGCATGAAATTAATATTTCTACTTTTTGTTTTTGAAATTAATATTTCTACTGTTTGTTTTTGAAATTAATATTTCTACTTTTTGTTTTTAAGAGTTCGTGCATAAAATTAATATTTCTACTTTTTGTTTTTGAAATTAATATTTCTACTTTTTGTTTTTGAGAATTCGTGCATGAAATTAATATTTCTACTTTTTTTTTGAGAGTTCGTGCATGTAATTAATATATCTACATTTTGTTTTTGAAATTAATATTTCTACTTTTGTTTTTAAGAGTTTGTGCATGAAATTAATATTTCTACTTTTTGTCTTTGAAATTAATATTTCTACTTTTTGTTTTTAAGAGTTCGTGCATAAAATTAATATTTCTACTTTTTGTCTTTGAAATTAATATTTCTACTTTTTGTTTTTAAGAGTTCGTGCATAAAATTAATATTTCTACTTTTCGTTTTTGAAATTAATATTTCTACTTTTTGTTTTTAAGAGTTCGTGCATAAAATTAATATTTCTACTTTTGGTTTTTGAAATTAATATTTCTACTTTTTGTTTTTGAGAATTCGTGCATGAAATTAATATTTCTACTTTTCGTTTTTGAAATTAATATTTCTACTTTTTGTTTTTAAAAGTTCGTGCATAAAATTAATATTTCTACTTTTTGTTTTTGAAATTAATATTTCTACTTTTTGTTTTTGAGAATTCGTGCATGAAATTAATATTTCTACTTTTTGTTTTTGAGAGTTCGTGCATGAAATTAATATTTCTACTTTTTGTTTTTGAGAGTTCGTACCTGAAATAAATATTTCTACTTTTTGTTTTTGAGATTTCGTGAATTAAAAAAATATTTCTCCTTTTTGTTTTTTTAGAGTTCGTGCATGAAATGAATATTTTTACTTTTTGTTTTGTACTAACAATAAATCATTGAAATATTAAGCTCAACAGAAACGTTAAATAGCATACCATTCTATAAACGTTTAATGTAAGTAGGGCCTACAGTCTTAAGCAAAGCAAGAATACTACTCAACATAAGGTACAGTTTTTTAAACAATAAGCCTAATGAGGAACTAAACCACAATCGTAACCAAAACACATTTTAAAATTAAAGTGAATAAATTTCGATTCTGTCACAATATCAGAAAATAAACGAGTAAATGACAAAAAATCTCAATATAGAATTTAACTCAGTTGTGTGTAACTTATGAATGCACTTATAAATATGTTCTAGTTTCGGATCATTAAGAAAATACCGTCACTTACTCTCCACGAATACTAGGCCAGAAAAGCTCAACAGAAATAAAAACAGTAGGTCCATTTTCATATCCAAACACAAATAGAACCTATACAGTATTTCAGGCTACCAACAGACGCTACAAGTACAGGCTACCGTGAGTGGCTACCACATGGCCCAGTGCGCATGCCTAGATCAGCAGTGGCTATCCGTTTATCAACCGGCATGAAGTGTTTACAAACTGAAGCTGTGGGAACGAAACCTTATCGGACCATCACTTACCATAGGCTCGATGCTACAGGGATAACGGGCTGTGGTTTACCGAGGCGGTGTTTGTGTGAAAGTTGTTCCATTAAATCTTAGCACCCGCAGGCACTGTATGCCATGGACGCGGTTATGTGTACAGAACGTTTGCTAAACATTGCTGGATGCCTGAGCAAAACAAAAACCATATATTTTAAAAGTCTAAACATATTTATTATATTATTATTTTTAAAAAGATATATATATATAAAAATATATATATATATATATATATATATATATATATATATATATATATATATATATATATATATATATATATATATATATATATAAAGAGAGAGAGAGAGAGAGAGCGAGAGTTTAATTACTTCCGTCACATTGCTCATATGTCAAAGAGATTTTCTCCATTGAAATTAATTGCAATGCCATTATTTCGTTCCAGCCCCCAAAATGCCAACGTTTCGTGTGTTTTTTTTTAGAATAAGAAAAGTCTATTTATACATGGGAAATGTTGTTTAATAAAAGCAGGATGATCCAAATAAATAAATTGGCTTTATAAAGTGTATTTACCTCGAAAATCAGCCGACTTCTTGTGCAGGTGCTGGGGTGTTGGCTCATTGTAGTGTGGAGGAGATAGGCGGATGAGCTTCACTTTGTTTCCTACTCTCTGTTGATGCTAAGCTCTTTCTGTTTATTTAATTCACTTACTGGTTACAATCTTAACACTACACTTTAGCCGTAAACTTTACGGAACCTAAACTTCACCGAACATAATTGAACCTAAAAATGCTACTATTTAATACTTGGTTGCTTTCGCTTAAATTTCATCACTGCTTCATCTTTGCTTTTTCGCCCCACTTTTCCACGCGGGTTCATTGAAACAAACCTGATCTTTTTGGGAAATTAAACAAGTGTCATTAAATATCTCCGATGCAAAATCAATTGTAGGTTTTTCGGGATGTTTCTTTTTCGCGATTTATTAAACCTGCTAAGCGGATTACTCGTATCTCAAAATTTGCTCGTATGTCAAAGCAAATTTTAGCTCGGCTCGACAGTTCTATCTCAAAACTTTCGTATGTCGGGGCACTAGTATGCCGAGGTATATATAAACATATATACATATATATATATATATATATATATATATATATATATTTATATATATATATATATATATATATATATATATATATATATATATATATATATATAAACATATATGCATGTATATATATATAAAGAATTTTTAATTTTACAATATACAATAAGCATATATTTGTATTCTATTGTAAAGTGCGTCCAATCTCAGCCCCCCCCCCCCTCCCCCCAACCCACTTCACATCCTTACTGTAAGACATGACCCATGACAACAACTTTAGACTTCCTGCTTGAAACACTTAGACTGAACTTTCAAGATCAGAGTTCTCTCCTATAGTTTTCAACAAGTGCCTACAAATGTATTCGGGTGACATTTGTCGACCGCGTCCTTCCACTTGAAAGCTCTACTTCACACTTAATTTAACTTGTTTTGTTTCGTTTTTCGGAAATACAAAAGCGTGAATGTTTATATCCTAGTAGACACATACTGAATTTGTTAGTTTATTTGTTTTATTTTACATTACGTGCTGGCGTTTAGTTTGTTTAATAGTTTTCCTAAAAAATGGAAAATCTTAGTAAAAATGCTTCAGGAATATTTAAAAGTGATGTTATTAATTCTAGCGAATTAAAAAACGTGAGTTTAAATATTTCCGAAGAAGAAGCGGATCAATACTTGAGAGAACTACAGGAACAGACGAATATCGTTTTTATTCCAGTTTTTATTTACCTTTTCTTTTTGTCCGTCTTTGGCTTTTTCGGGAATTCCTTGATTCTACTTGTGTACTCGAGGAAAAGCAGAAAGACAGCGACCATTGTTTTAATCAAATCTATCGCCATTTGGGATTTAATAACTAACATCGTCGTTATTCCAGGTTGGTGATTTATGTTCGTTTTTTTTTCTTAATTTTTTTTTAAATAGAACATTTTAGAACGCCGCTATCGAAGCCTCAAGCCTCACCCTCATGCTTAGCTCCCCCCTGAAAATGTCTATCGCCTACCCCTAAACGAAACATAATTTATATAGAATATGTATACTTTTACCAGTGTTCGTCCCCACCGGAAATTTCAGGTGCACCCCCTTCACCCTGGAGAAAAAAGTCTGTACAGGTGCTTTTTCTTCAACCACTGAATATATATATATATATATATATATATATATATATATATATATATATATATATATATATATATATATATATATATATAATTCTCTTCATGGGGACCATGCGAGACACCACGTGAACGCATGCCGTTACTCCCCCACTCTCTAAGCATATAGCTACCACCCCCACCAAGCTAAGGTTCACCCCGAATGTTTACAATCGTAGAGCCGGGTTGAATTAGTAACGGCTATTAGGGGCAGATAAGTTATCTTTTAAACGATTTGAAACTAAGGAGACGTAAGGAGCTTTGCTTGATCTTTTCATTGTCGTCCGTAACCTGTCGTAACGGACGGCTGCTTTCACGTTGACGGGGGGGGGGGGGGGGAGGGAAGGGAAGGTAGTATCAAATTCACTAACTATGAAGTACTGAAAAGTAGAAATAAAACAAACAACTAAATACCGGCGTAGGATACGCCGCGGGTCAGCTCGTACAGTATAGTTCTAATTAACTAAAAACATTGGCGTTTAAGTAATTTAATCATTGCACATTAATGTTTTTTTTTGTTTAAGTTAGTATCTGATGTTAAAAAAATCATCCTTTGATAGGGTTATTGATTCCATGCATAATAATTTTTTTAGCCGCTATCTATGGGCTCTTCCACACCTGGAACTACCCCTACCCCTACCTGTGTAAAGGGTACATTTACCTCAATGGCGTCACGGGAGCCGCTCCTGCCACTTTGCTTCTGGCTTTAGCGTTTGTCAGGTAAGAAGAGCATCATTTGTCTCCCTGCTTCTAGATTTTGTCAAGTAATTATAGCATCACATGTCTCTCTGCTTTAGATTTGTTAGGCAAGTAGGATTAGGATTAAGGTACCCTTTCAAACCTTATGGCCCAAGGGGGCAGGTGAAAGGAGAGTGTGGTCAGCTCTATGTCCAGACACCTTTACTTTCACCGACGTGAGTCAAATACCTATCAAAGTTGGGTCGACTAAGGGACGTCATAAGAAGTCAAGCTCGGGATCCGAACTCGAGACTTGCGAGTTAGTAGTTGAACACTACCATTTTACCACACCGTACCCAAGGATTAGGGTGTGCGTAAAGCTTACTCTAAAAGAGGTGTTAGTATTAATGTTGCTTTAATGTTCCTCTCTGTACTTTAAGTCTACCGAAGCCTTAACTGTATATTATACTAGACTACCCGTTATCTAGTTAGATAACTGTGGGTTTCAGGGGTCATCCATAAATGACATGACTTCTGTCACTTATCA